TGGAAGTCAATGGTAACCAAAACGATCATGCAAAATGCCTGTTATTTGTTATTTAGTACTGTCCTGAGTAAGATATTTTACATAAAAGATGTTTACATTTAGTCCACAGGACAAAAAAAATAGCTGAAATTATTCAAATAAACCCTTTCAAAAGTTTGGGAACCCTTGGTTCTTAATACTGTGTGTGTGGTTACCTGGATGATCTACCACTGTTTTTTGTTTTGTGATGGTTGTTCATGAGTCCCTTGTTTGTTCTGAACAGTTAAACTGAGCACTGTTCCTCAGAAAAATCCTCTGTGTCCCGCATATTCTTCAGTTTTCCAGCATCTTTTGCATATTTGAACCCTTTCCAGCAGTGACTGTATGATTTTGAGATCCATCTTTTCACACTGAGGACAACTGAGGGACTCAAACACAACTATTAAAAAGGTTCAAACATTCACTGATGTTCCAGAAGGAAACACAATGCATTAAGAACAGGATGTCCCAATTTTTCTTATTTTGCTGAAATATAATTTTGTTCCCATTTAGTACTGCCCTTCAGAAGCAACAGAAGATTCTTGCATGTTTCCCGGAAGACAAATTAAGTACAATTTACCTTGATCCCACAGTATTAAGAACCAAGGGTTCCCAAACTTTTGAAGGGGGTTGTTTTTATAATTTCAGCTATTTTTTTGTCTTGTGGACTATATGTAAACATCTTTTATGTAAAATATCTTACTCGGGACAGTACTAAATAAAAAATAACATGCATTTTGTATGATCGCTCTTATTTTAAAATTATTCACATTTTCACAGATTCTGCAAGGGGTTCCCAAACTTTCACATGTCAGTGTATATCAGGCAAATTGGATTGCATTTCATTTTGCGCATTCATGGCTAAACCCACTACCTACTAGATAGAGATAATCCTTAATATTTAATATTAATATAATATACTTAACTATTAATATAGTTTTTTAATGACTAGTAAAGGGATATTTCATAGCTAAATAATCTCAGCAGTTATATAATATACTGGGGTAAAGAAAGGCATACAGACAATATAGGATATTTAAATGTTCCTGTCCATTTTATATCCTCATCTAGCACAAACCAAAAGAGACAGCATTATTGCAAAAACTTAATTTAACAGCAATCTTGAAGGGCACTTTACCTTTTAAGAGCATTGGTTATTCTTCTAACCAGAGTTTTTCCAAGGAAAAAGCATCCTCTCCTCTACTATTATGAGGAAATAATATTAGGGTGAAATTGGGTAAATTGGGACACATTTTGCCGTTGAGATGACTGAGAAAAAATGGCCGGTCATTCTGAATGAACCCCTATTATCTTAAATATTGGGGCATGGGAGCAAAAATAACCCTAAGTAACCAACAGAGAGAACTGATAGTTACTTCACGCATAATCTACAGGACTAGCATGCAAATCTGCAGAGGACAATGCATTTATCTTAATAGAGACAAATATAGGACAATCATCATGCTGTATGAAAACAGAATTTAATATTAATGTTAAACAAAAAACTTTAAAACTCAAAACAATTCTGGATGAAAACCACAAGTTTTTTTTTAAGTATTTAACAACAAGTAAATAAAACGTATTTTAACAGAGCCATCCTTCGGCTTTGCACAGTGGTCTCACGCACGCATTTTTAATGCTATTGATCACTAGGTCCCGCCCCGCTGTAAATAATCTACCCGCTACAGCACTGGCACTAAAATCGTTAACAGAGCTCAAAGATGACTGTGTTTTGACTGCTGTGGTTGCCATTTATTCTTCCCAACAGACATCGATGAGCCGAGGGCATCGCTGAATGCCAGGAGGTGCCCATGTGTTTCAGTGCTCCTCTGTTATATAAATAAGGTGTATAGTCTTTGGATAAATCGCTCTGACCACTCCCCACCCCTTTTTCTTCCAGCGGCAGTGACTGAATTCAAGTCGCTGATTCCTGCCCGAGGCTTCACAAGCCATATCAACACTACCACAGCCTTTGATCTTTCCAATTTCATTACATGTCATCCAGTACGATAAATATATTCCATAAGATTACATAAAAGTGCGGGTATTGCACACAAAAAATCTTAAAGCCCTGTTTAAACTGATAATTGTTTGATATGTCAGAACAACGAAACAGGAAATAAAGTGTATTATGCTATTTGAAAGGTTCATAATTTGGTTTTGGGAGTCCCCAGCAACAGGTTTACATGCATGCAAGGTCAAAAAAACATTCATTTTCTTATAATATGCATTTAATTTTATGTACTGACTCTCAAATGATTTGTTCGAAGACTGATCTTTCCAAACCCCTCCTCTGTGTGATGCTCTGATTGGTCCGATTGATCCGAACACAAACGTGGAGTACGGATAAATCACTGCAGTTTGCAAACCAACGTATTGCTCCATCCTTTATCATGACTTCGAGTAATAAGAACGACAGACATTCTATATTAATCTACACATTTATAGACCATAGCGGGCCCACAGCTTATTAGCAGAACTATAACGTGAGTTAGCCAGAGACCTACAGCTGCACTGAGTGTATCCACAACACAACACACAAAACTACATATTTTGCACGCTCGACAAAACATTAAAGCAACAATTATTCATCATATTTACAGGTTGTGATTCGGAGGAGCAAGCTGGTCCAACTCTGTGTTGAACTCGCGGAGATTGGGGAAGCAGTCGTCAGTGAAATGATGAGAACACAGCAAAAGGTTGTGATTATACTGCTGCGGTATCGTAGTAAAGATTAATTTTAACCACTGATTCTTCACAGGCTCATCCTTTAGAAGTGCAAATAAACTAGGCCTAATTTAATTTCACAGCGTAGAGCACAGCATCTTGTCGACATGTTATCCACACGAACGAGCCACAAAGTTTGAGGTAGGGATGGGCGTATCGATCCTGAAGTATCGATATATTGATACTGATGCGAGTATCGAAAGTATCGATACTAAAGTGTTTTTTTTTTACCAGTGATTTCGTTTAATAATTGTGTAGGATGGAACTATTTTCCTGCTCATCTGAACATACGCAAATGCTGCAAGACAAAACTAATCAATCACAGAGAGCGTTCACTCACTTCTGACAGTGCATTCAAACAAGGCTGCGTTTCCCAAAAGTATCATAAGAAACCACTGATGCTTTTGGGAACGGCAGAACAATGCTTATCAGAGGACAGAAAAAAAAACATGTTTGAGTTATTTCACAATAAACAAATTTAAATTATAGCCTACATAGTTTGTGCAATTACATTTATTTAAATCGAACGTTAAAAGTTCATATTGATCATGTTCTATTCAGTAATGTTAATATAATTAATAGCCGTCACAGAATAAAAAGGTTGAATTATATGCATGCAACAGCCTTTCACTGGCAGTCCCTTATGAAAATGAACCATGGTGGTTTTACGAAAGTGACCGTAGTTCAACTATAGTATTTGTAGATTTCCATGGTTACCACTACAGTAAACATATTTTAACCACATGTAAACAAAAATATAACCTAATAAATTGCAATTAAGGCGTATTGAATGTTACAATTAGTTTCAAATATAAAGTTAAATCGGTATCATTACCCATTTTACTCTTAATTTAATAAATTTCATAATTTAAAAGTTAAGTTTAGAAGTATCGTATCGGTATCGACGATACTGGCCTGTAAAAGTATCGGTATCGTATCGAAAACAAAATAAGTGGTATCGCCCATCCCTAGTTTGAGGGGGGTTCAAGTTTTCGCGGGATGTAAATGTGGCAACTTGTGACGTGTGAACTTAAAGGAAATGGGATTAGAATTTTAAACGCCTCGTTTCAGCGGTTCAGACTCTTTCTTTTGAGAGACAATAACTTTATTTATGATGCACTTTGAGCTTTACAACTTTGCAGACTGTTTACATCCACATACAGCTACATTACACACTGCATGAAAGGTAATTTTCAAAAACCCATAATAAGGGCACTAATAGACAGTATGAAGCAAAAAGCAGACTGCATTGTTACTATCAGACCTGACCTGTCCAACTCCCTGTCATCTTGTTCTGTGAAAGGCACTTTCACGTCGTTCAAAAACAACAAAGACCAACTTTTTCCCAAGCTAGTTATCATTATAACCTTTACATATGCATGTATTTATTTACCCAAAATTACAATAGTTAACCGGATTTATAGGTATCCCAATTCAGTGTAACAATCCGTGCAACTGTGTCACCTGTCATCTTTTTTCAGTGTCATTCATTTCAAGACGAATATTATGCTTTAATAAATGTTCATTTAAAATTTTTTTTTAAATATTAGTTTCATATTTTTAACTCAAGGACACTCAAAGATAATATTCGCTTGCAACGTTTAAGTAGGCTAATATGTAGAGTTTAGACTGCTAACATGAACTTTTTAAGAACATCTTCCCCCAAATTTTTTTTGGAGCTTCAACTCCAAATAAGGCAGTCTAACAAACCCCTTTAAAATCCAACATTTATTTTACCAAATGTTAGCTACTTTGCTATAAGTCATGATGACTATCAACCTGTACATTCCCAAACTAGAACCCCCTTACTACATATCCGCCCCTCTGAGCAAACACTGCCTTGCATTCTATGCCTCTTCATCCATTAGGTTTTTTTTGTGTGTGTGTGTCAATATCGTTTTCATATTTTTTACTATTACGTCGAAATTAACTAAACCGTTACTCTATATTGAACGCATATTGTTTACAAAAGTAAGGTTTGGATGTGACAAAAAGTTGAAGCCAAATAAATCTTGTAGCCTACTTCAGCGTAATTTGATTGCCTGTTTGCGTAAAGGATACATAAAAAAGGAAAACGTGAAAAGTAAACGCTCCGAAACGCTGCAACAAGCAAGGTGCATGATTTCTCTCTGCAGCCCCTCTACTCACATATCCTGACAGATACAAAGAAATACATAGACACAGGCTACCAGACACACACGACTTAAAAGACATTGCATGGGAAAACACTGGGGTTTAGATTTAACTTTTATTACCTTGCACGGATAATCCACAGTAACCCAGAGTAAGTAGACAGAAGAACCAGATATTCTCCACCGCCATGTAGAGCGTTTGATTTCCAGCAGCGGGGTAAAGCAGTGTGTGCTTTATATGACCGCTGCAGCTACATGCATATAAGTTAATGGAATTCGGGAAAAATCTCTTCAGGTTTAATTAGTTGCACGTAATTTCACGTATTTCCCTGTAGCGCGCTTTCCCCACCTATAAACATAACGTGGTTGTGTTAGTCGGGGAAGAGTCGTCGTGTCTCTCGGCGCCTCATCGCCATGTTGTGTCCAAATGTTAAGTGTGTGAGAGTGTGTTAGCTCTCCTTACAACACGCGCGCGCACACACCAGTGAGTCCCGCTTTAGGTGTCCACTGGAGCTGCATGAAACGCTGCCACTATCCTCACACACCCCCTTTCCGTGTACACGACTCCACGCTAGTTTCTTGTAACCTGCAAACGCGCTGCGCCAAATACACGACACAACAATGTTAAATAAACACACACTGACTAATTTAGAGCTTCGTATTTCGCCAGTAGCAATGAAAAAGACACCCTTGTTTAATATGATGCGCTGATATTGCTATAGCACGTGCCAATTTGCTATAAAGTCGGATGTGTTCTATATTTACAATTTCATTCATTGTAACTACAGTAGCGTTGATTGTATATAGGTCTACAAGGCACACACAATTCAATGTGTATGAATAATAGCCTCAATAACGTTCTATAGTTAATTGATATGCAAGTCATAGACTAGTGTGCAACACACACGCATAGTACACAGTTGGGGTTGCAGGACCCTCTGCCTTGACCTTCAAATGGGCCAAGAGAGAATTCTTCTCTCCTGGTGTCTGAGGGGGTGAGAGATCACATGTGTATCCATGTCATACGCTCCTACAGGTTGAGGATTCCACTCCGGCTGGCCATTGACACAGCTATGTGCATGGGACCCTTGCCGTCTCTGAACACACAGAGCTAACTAGGGTCAGCTCAACCACAGGCTCATAAGGGGCAGAACAAAAGTAAACAACTCATATCTGACAGTGTGTATCCACATACTCTTTTTAAGTTAAATGGTTTGCGAACGCTGTGCATAATGTTTCAGAATTTTACAAGAATGTTTTTTCTTCTTCTGACTTTGTCCATTTATTTTAATGGCTAGTCTGTCTGTCTCTATCTATCTATCTATCTATCTTCTTTTATTTCACACTTTTTCCATTCATGGACCCTTTCCATTGCACAAAATGTTCTTTATAGTGTAAAAAAGTTATTTAGCTTATTAAAGTGTTCTTCACACTAAAAGTGGATATCTTAAGAACTGTTCACTGAAAAGTTCTTGTACTCATAAAAATAAAGTTTCCAAAAGGGGGTTTCGCAGCAATGAAGAACCATTTTAAGTTACACAAAGGACCTTTTGGTGAAATGTTCTTAGAAGAATTATTTATTTGAGCGAGAAGAGAAAAATATTTAAAAAATCTTTAGAATTATTTCAATATAAAGAAACCTTTGTACATTTAGAACCTTTATTTTTAAGAGTGAGGGAACTTAAAATGGTTCTTCTGTGACATCGCTCCAAAACCCACTTTTGGAAGCTTTATTTTGATGCGTACAAGAACCTTCCAGTGAATATGCAGTTCTTAAAAGAATATATATTTTTCTTAGTGTGAAGAACACTTTAATAAACTATATAATAATCTAATCTCTTCTGAAGAAAGAGAAGATTTATACTCATCACAAAACACTAAAAGATACCAGGTGTAAACAATGTTATCATACACAGCATGATGGCAACATTTTGAGGAGAGAGTCCAGCCTTATTTACAGAGCAGATTAGAGAAAAGCCACGGGAGATTATTATGTAAGCATTTATTCATTACCCATGAAAATGTTTTATGATACAGACTTTAATATTTCATAGTGTATGTATATGGATTCTGCCTTGGGCATATCATGTTCAGAATGGGCACAGATATTTTATCTCGCCCAACTGCAAACGATGGGCTTCCTGGGGGTAACCGTATCCAAACCTCAGAGGGACTGAAACAGATCAAACAACAGGGATGTCCCTACTGCAGCTGCTATCTATCCAAACAGCACTGCTCCTGTAACTCAGTAAATATCTCCTATCTCTCTGTGCTGTTGTGACTCTAGGTTGCTCTGCTTCCACCACATCAAAGGCACTTTTGTCATGGCATAATGAAGTGATTGTATGAGTGTGCTTCTTGTGGTAGGTTGCTTTCGCTTCTGAACAAAAACAAATAAAAAGGAAAGATTATATGCACTTGTTCCAGACACAAAGAAACACCACAAAACACATATGCTGTTCAGAGATCTTGAACATCTGCTCAAATTAGTTAATTTGGGGTGATAAAGCTCATTTAGGGTTATAAACTGCCTGGCATGGCTGAAAGCAAGTAAGGCCTCAGTTTCTCTACCACTAATCGGATAAAAGTATGTAGTTGTTGAACTAATGTAGAATTATAATACATTTTAGGTCTCACTAGAAGAGATGTGAAAGAAAGGAAGTGATCAGATGCCTTTGTATAAGTCAGAGGAAGTACCCTAAATTTGATTTCAATCTGAGCGAGTCATCCTATTCATTGCAGGACAGAGTGAGTGAATGAATGAGATTAACTTTTCATCTTTGAAACCATACATCACAGTGAATTTAAAGCCAAGGCATCTTAGAAGTATTTTGTTCCTGTATGTACAGGTGCATCTCAATAAATTAGAATGTCATGGAAAAGTTCATTTATGTCAGTAATTCAACTCAAATTGTGAAACTCATGTATTAAATAAATTCAATGCACACAGACTGAAGTAGTTTAAGTCTTTGGTTCTTTTAATTGTGATGATTTTGGCTCACATTTAACAAAAACCCACCAATTCACTATCTCAACAAATTAGAATACTTCATAAGACCAATAAAAAAAACATTTTTAGTGAATTGTTGGCCTTCTGGAAAGTATGTTCATTTACTGTACATGTACTCAATACTTGGTTAGGGCTCCTTTTGCTTTAATTACTGCCTCAATTATGAAAGGTAATTTTCAAAAACCCATAATAAGGGCACTAATAGACAGTATGAAGCAAAAAGCAGACTGCATTGTTACTATCAGACCTGACCTGTCCAACTCCCTGTCATCTTGTTCTGTGAAAGGCACTTTCACGTCGTTCAAAAACAACAAAGACCAACTTTTTCCCAAGCTAGTTATCATTATAACCTTTACATATGCATGTATTTATTTACCCAAAATTACAATAGTTAACCGGATTTATAGGTATCCCAATTCAGTGTAACAATCCGTGCAACTGTGTCACCTGTAATCTTTTTTCAGTGTCATTCATTTCAAGACGAATATTATGCTTTAATAAATGTTCATTTAAAATTTTTTTTTAAATATTAGTTTCATATTTTTAACTCAAGGACACTCAAAGATAATATTCGCTTGCAACGTTTAAGTAGGCTAATATGTAGAGTTTAGACTGCTAACATGAACTTTTTAAGAACATCTTCCCCCAAATTTTTTTTGGAGCTTCAACTCCAAATAAGGCAGTCTAACAAACCCCTTTAAAATCCAACATTTATTTTACCAAATGTTAGCTACTTTGCTATAAGTCATGATGACTATCAACCTGTACATTCCCAAACTAGAACCCCCTTACTACATATCCGCCCCTCTGAGCAAACACTGCCTTGCATTCTATGCCTCTTCATCCATTAGGTTTTTTTTGTGTGTGTGTGTCAATATCGTTTTCATATTTTTTACTATTACGTCGAAATTAACTAAACCGTTACTCTATATTGAACGCATATTGTTTACAAAAGTAAGGTTTGGATGTGACAAAAAGTTGAAGCCAAATAAATCTTGTAGCCTACTTCAGCGTAATTTGATTGCCTGTTTGCGTAAAGGATACATAAAAAAGGAAAACGTGAAAAGTAAACGCTCCGAAACGCTGCAACAAGCAAGGTGCATGATTTCTCTCTGCAGCCCCTCTACTCACATATCCTGACAGATACAAAGAAATACATAGACACAGGCTACCAGACACACACGACTTAAAAGACATTGCATGGGAAAACACTGGGGTTTAGATTTAACTTTTATTACCTTGCACGGATAATCCACAGTAACCCAGAGTAAGTAGACAGAAGAACCAGATATTCTCCACCGCCATGTAGAGCGTTTGATTTCCAGCAGCGGGGTAAAGCAGTGTGTGCTTTATATGACCGCTGCAGCTACATGCATATAAGTTAATGGAATTCGGGAAAAATCTCTTCAGGTTTAATTAGTTGCACGTAATTTCACGTATTTCCCTGTAGCGCGCTTTCCCCACCTATAAACATAACGTGGTTGTGTTAGTCGGGGAAGAGTCGTCGTGTCTCTCGGCGCCTCATCGCCATGTTGTGTCCAAATGTTAAGTGTGTGAGAGTGTGTTAGCTCTCCTTACAACACGCGCGCGCACACACCAGTGAGTCCCGCTTTAGGTGTCCACTGGAGCTGCATGAAACGCTGCCACTATCCTCACACACCCCCTTTCCGTGTACACGACTCCACGCTAGTTTCTTGTAACCTGCAAACGCGCTGCGCCAAATACACGACACAACAATGTTAAATAAACACACACTGACTAATTTAGAGCTTCGTATTTCGCCAGTAGCAATGAAAAAGACACCCTTGTTTAATATGATGCGCTGATATTGCTATAGCACGTGCCAATTTGCTATAAAGTCGGATGTGTTCTATATTTACAATTTCATTCATTGTAACTACAGTAGCGTTGATTGTATATAGGTCTACAAGGCACACACAATTCAATGTGTATGAATAATAGCCTCAATAACGTTCTATAGTTAATTGATATGCAAGTCATAGACTAGTGTGCAACACACACGCATAGTACACAGTTGGGGTTGCAGGACCCTCTGCCTTGACCTTCAAATGGGCCAAGAGAGAATTCTTCTCTCCTGGTGTCTGAGGGGGTGAGAGATCACATGTGTATCCATGTCATACGCTCCTACAGGTTGAGGATTCCACTCCGGCTGGCCATTGACACAGCTATGTGCATGGGACCCTTGCCGTCTCTGAACACAAAGAGCTAACTAGGGTCAGCTCAACCACAGGCTCATAAGGGGCAGAACAAAAGTAAACAACTCATATCTGACAGTGTGTATCCACATACTCTTTTTAAGTTAAATGGTTTGCGAACGCTGTGCATAATGTTTCAGAATTTTACAAGAATGTTTTTTCTTCTTCTGACTTTGTCCATTTATTTTAATGGCTAGTCTGTCTGTCTCTATCTATCTATCTATCTATCTTCTTTTATTTCACACTTTTTCCATTCATGGACCCTTTCCATTGCACAAAATGTTCTTTATAGTGTAAAAAAGTTATTTAGCTTATTAAAGTGTTCTTCACACTAAAAGTGGATATCTTAAGAACTGTTCACTGAAAAGTTCTTGTACTCATAAAAATAAAGTTTCCAAAAGGGGGT